AAATTAACACAAGTGAACGAACGTCTTGGTGAGATTTAATTTTTAGTTAGACTTTTCCAATACTACGTACTCTGAATATTGATGATCGGATGCAGCTCCCATGACAAGCTTCTTGATTTTGCTCTCATGGATGAGTTCTAATATCCCCTGCTTCACATCGTTCATCTCTATACACGATATGTATATATCATCCTCATTCACCTGTAATCATAACGAATCCAATATCGGGTATCAATGGGATATTTTCACATGTGAATCAGGGAAAACACAACCATTTCAAAACAAGAAGAGAAAGACTCTTAACAATATAAGATTGCAACAGATCAATACCCCTTCTTGCTGGCAGAGATCAAAATAACCATGTAATGTCTCGTACATGATAGCCTCCAGTTCTTCAAGCTTGCGTGCTAAAGAATCAACAAGAAGTAATGTATCAAATGCGATGCATATAATCTGAATAGTTATATGGACCAATAAACACATATTAACAAATGCATGTAACATAGCTCCATGGGGAAATCATATAAATCTCGGTCTTTAGACAAAGAGGGCTTCAAGCTTACCAGCAGGAGAAGCAGTTTTTGGCTGATAAACATGGAGGATGCAGACTTTCTTGGCTCCAAGGTTCCTTAAAGCCCAAAGCAGAGTCGATCTGCTCTCTCTGACATCATTCTTCACTGCAACATGAACAACATCATTGCCCATGGCCATGAGTTCCGCCATTGATATCGTCTTTGTGTTTTGTCTTTTTTTTCCCCTGAAAAGTGAAAACAGAGAAACAAAGAAGAATCTAAACAGATAGAGACCAACAGTGGTTAGTGGTGACCCTCAATGTTCTTCTTGTTGACCGTTTCAGGTTTCATAAGATGGTGCACAGTAAAGTCAACGGATAGGAAATTAAACACAAGTCAATGAATAAAAATACAGAGAAAAGAAAAAAAACGGCACTCCAAGGTTTGCAAAGTGAATAGAGGAATTTTTATTAGATTTTTCACATTTCTTTTCCCATATATATTCACTGAATCACAACACAATCAACATCATATTATCCTAAGTCTAATCAAGAAATTATGGGTTCTGTTGCAACCAGTCGTTAATGGCTGTACGAAGAATGAGATTCGGGGTGAGATTGTGATTCTCGAGCCTAAGGTTTGTCATGGGCG